CGTTTTAACCTGGGAGGATTTAATCCATTACCTTGGCAACGTGTGAGGAGGTTAAAATTCCTTAAGGATGCACAAGAAAATTGTGGACTCGGAATATTTCTGATTCTTTACTATTTTATACATTTCTTTATTCTTCTAACAGTTTTTCGGATTTTTGTTTTAACACAGTTACGTTCACAAAAACTCTGTTATAGAAGTAAGATTCCCAAGGTTGTCTGTCATGTGGTGAGATGCGCCAGAATCAATGATCCAAGAATTATCATTATTCTTGTAGGAGCGAGATGCCATATTCGCCTGAGCTTCATATTTGTTGTGTGTTTGAGAGCGACAACCTTTAGCGATGTGGCATCCAAAGGATTTGGAGGATTGATTTTGGCTAGTAACGTTCCTGCCATTAGAGGTATGGTTTAATTTGGAACTCCTTGGTTGCATCGCTGTGGGTTTTGATTCCCAACATTATTGTAGTTTTGGTCGCTGAGAAATTTAGGCGTTTGAAACACGCTGGTTGAAATTTGGGTTGCAATAACTGGAGCAGCAGCTTTGGGCTCTGATTATTGAACAAAAACTTCATGAGCAAGAATTTTATCATATAATTCCTCAAAAGATATAGGATTATCGTGAGCACGAATAGCTGCTGAAAGTTCCTGAAACTCAGGTCCAAGACTACTAAGTACTTTGATAACTAGTTCTTTATTGGTTAATGGGGATCCACCAGAGGCGAGATCATCAACAATAGTTTTTATATTTCCTTCATGTAGTCAGCAACCGGTCGAGCTTCTTTTCGCAGATTGGCAAGAATTTCACGAAGGCAAAAATTTCTGGATTGTGATTTGCTTGCAAAAGTTGTCTGAAGTATCACCCATGAATGTTTCGTCGTCACTGCATGAGCTATCATATGAGCAATAGAGTGATCGACAGATGCCATTATAGCATTGTGTACCAAGCTGTCTTGGCGCTGCCAGAATTTACAGTTGGGATTAATAAGCTGCTGATTATTTTCAATGATAAATTGAGCAGGACACTCTGAAGATCCATCAATATAGCCAATTAAGTCATAACCGAAGAGCAAGGTTGTCACTTGGGCTTTTCATGCGGAGTAATTGGTGCTTCCAGTTAACTTAAGTGATAGTTAGGATGTTGGGTTGAAGGAGACTAATTGAGAAGGTTGGATAACTGAACAAACTAGTGAGGGAGAGGCTAGTGAGGGAGACGTTGAGTTGTTTGCTATAAAAGATGAGTTGGTTTGAATTTCTGAAACCATTTTTATGGACCAAAAAATGGGTTTAACTCATTGGAGTTTGAGATGCTCTGATACCATAAAACAACTCAAATTGTTATAAGAATTTTCACACACATGCCTTCTCATTATTGGAGGTTAGTATTTACTGTACAAAAGCTATATTGTTAGGATAAGATGAGATCCATGTGATTAGGGATTACATTACAACATAAATAGATTAAATCAAATCTGAGTTGGTTGTGAAGAGGCCTTATCCGTACTAACCTCTTTAGAAAGGACAAGATAAATGCATTAGATCTAGATAACAGACTATCTCTAAAACTCCTATTCAAAAGAGCAATCAACGAAATAACATAAAAGGGTGAGAAAAATCAATCGAAATTACATAAAAGACATTACAATCCCAATTTAATAAAATATGATATATNAATAATTATTTCGTGATAGATTAGTATCGCTAACAGCTTGTTTGGATTGTTGTTACATATCGTTTTATAATGTATTGTTGTGCTGCATTGTATTTTATTGTTTGATGAATACAATGTTTGGATAGATTGTATTATTTTTCGTCGTTTCATGATGTCACGCACCAACAATATGAAGAATAAACTTGCAATATTACTAAGAAAAAATAGGATATAGAGTAGAATATTATATAAAAAGTAGGGTTAAGGATAAAATATAATTATTTAATAATAAGAAAGGATAAGATGCGAGAAAAAAAGCGAGGTAAGGACACCACCACACCAAATTCGTCGTTGCATAAAGTGATAATTTTCATCGTTACGTAACGATGGATTTAACGATACGCTACAATAAAATTTAAGTGATAATCAAAACAAATATTATATTTAAAATAACAATACGATACAATACAATAGGCAACAATCATCCAAACAAGCTGTAAATTGTAAGCCTTACTGATATTATGATTTTGACTTTTTGTTAAAAGCAGATTCAGGATATTGATTTTATGGGTTCTGAATTTTACAGCAATGACTTCAAATTCTTATACTAACCGAATTTTAAATTTATAACATAAATACACGATTTAAGACAAATCTACTAGATTCGAGCAAACCCGTAAGTTAACCTCTACCTTCGCCCGTGTTTTCAAAAGTAGCCACTTTTGTCACCTTTATCAGTTTGACCACCTTCACCATCTGGTCCAATCACCATAACAGGGGGTGTGCTGACTTTGAAACGTTCAAGCCTCAGCTCTGATTGATCATCTCCAGTGAATTCCCTTGGAGTAGTACTCCCAAAGCTCAAGCTTCTTTGCATAGTAGTCACCTTCTTGTTTTCCCATATGGCCTTATCACTAAATTTCTTGAATACTTGCACAAAATCTTCATAAATATTTCCCGGAAATATTTTCTTGAAAAATTCATTTCTTTTAACGTAGATTTCCTTGAAAGATTCCAAGAGTTCAAGCAACCTAGGATCAACAATTTGCCCTGACTTCCATCGAATCATCATATAACGCCTTTCTTGGCTCTTTTCTTCTTCTTTTATTATGATTTTAACTAGATTTATAGTCGAAGGGTAGGACAATATATAGGATGTATTTATGATTGAGATTTGCTTGTTTGCGAGAATAGATAGTTGTGCATAAGGTGATTTCTGCTGCCTACGCGTATTTATAGGGCTATGGAAATGCATTAACAAATTTATCTTAGAGAGACACACATTATGAAGAAAAAAAACGAAAAAAGAAAGTTCTGCATGTACGTCAACCCAACCGAAAAAAGAAGTGGATCCGGGATTTAAATCTAATATAGTTTATCTATTAAACTTTTTAGCATTGTACCGTTAAAATTTATAGTTCAAATCTAATATTTGTTAAAATTTTATTAGGTTTTTATATAGAAGTTCATAATCCGTATCAAAATTTATGAATTCAGTTGAATCTGTAGCGGAAAGGCTACATTCTCCCTACCTAATGACACCCGTCCAAACAAGAAAAAAATCGTATGTGTATGTTGATTGGAGAAACAAGAGATGAGAATTGTCTATTAACAAAAATATTTACGTAGAACTGATGTCACAAACATTATCCATCTTGTAATTTCAAATACATAAAAATATATTCCAACGCTAGCTATACTTGCAGCATTGTCGTAGTCAAAGCGCCTTAAAATGAAGTACTCCTACAAAATACACGCAAGTACGTATCATCCCTGAATGAAAATTATTTTCTATATCTAACAGCATATCATTTTTAAACATAAATTTGACTATTTTTTCCTCAAAGCTCATTTGATGAAGATATTGCCTTACGTTATTAATAGCTCGTCATTAGGGGATGGATGAAGCCCTAATTAGTTCTTCTATAACGTGTAAGAAAACTTGATGAATTGTGTAAGGAAGCCATGGCTATACGTTGCTTCCACGGCTGCAGTTTCCCGTTTCTAGATATAGTTTTTTTTTTAATTGCATGATCTTATTTTTTAATGATGTAGTGTCTGGATAAGTTTATACACATCTCTTATGACTATCTTACAGGACACCTGCTACCTTTCACCAGTACATATAACAAGTAATTCTAGCCACCAAAATTAAGCAGATGAAAAGAAGTTACCTAATATTTTTTCTGATAACTATCCCAGTGTGGTCTATACTAGTTTTCTATAACCAAGGCTAGGCATTTTTGAACAATCGCAGTGGTCTTGGTCCTTTTTTTTTTTTTTTTTTTTTTTTTTTTTTTTTTTTTTTTAAATCAGTTCGATTCAGTCAATTTGTACTTTATTTTTAGGAAGATACACCTAAATCTCAAATTCTTTTGCTAGAGCGAAGGCTTTTATTAAAAACAGAAAATTAACAAAGTACAATAGTTGGAACTGAACGAAGAGATTCAGCCCCTATTACATCAAAATCTACGTGCGGTAAAATAAAGTTGGGGGTTATAAAAAACTACTACATTCTGGGAAGTTGAGTCACGTAAATTTCAATGACACTAGAGCATTTTATCTAATAAACAGTTTTAATATAACACCAGAAATATACAATGCTAACAGATAGTTCTATACAGGAACAATACTAATTTATGACACATACTTTTGAAGTATTTTCTGTTTTTCCCTAGGCGTGTTATCCTTTACTTTGCCATCACAAAGTATTAGCTGTTGTTTAATTTGTATTACCCTATCAAATATAAGTCTATGAACACAAATAAAAACTGAAATAAAGTGGCCATCAAATTAAAGAAGAAATAAAAAAGAAAATGTATTAGTATTTCGACCATCATCCTCCTCTAGAAAAAAATATTCTCGCAATTGGAAAATCTGGTTATCGTTAATTCGTTATATATAGCGCTGACATGGACGGATATAAATGATAGATTATGGGTTCATTCGAATCCAATAGCTTGTTCGGACCTTGTTATGCATTAAAAAATTCATTCAATACATACATATAATTGATCTCGAACCCAATAAAATAAATAAGTGGTGGTAGAACCCTAAACTCAAACCGTATAGTTCAAATCTTAGATGACCACACATATCAAGAGAAAAAAGAGTAGAAGCATAAGGTCAAAGTTCACGTGAAAACACACTGCAAAACTTAGAAAACAAGAAATAATACCACTACAAACTGCAATTTATATATCTTTAAAAACATTTAAACTATGTATCAAAACGTTGTAATCAAAGAAAAACTATATTTAAATCCTAAAAAATAATAATGTCATAAAAGTGGAACAATGAGAGCATTAATTTTCACTAGTAAAAGAAAAGCTTTTATATTCAAGCTAATATGATCACTTAATTGGTTTATCTATTTGCATCCCTAAATCTTGTTCTGGTAATACTTCGAAATTAATCATTGATAGGAACCAATCGTTGCTATAATCTGCATATTGATAATCAATATTTTGCTCAACCCCAGCTGCCAAATAGTTAGCTTGTTCTTGTCCATAAGCTTCAAATCCTTGATTTTCGAAAGTGCCTGTGATCAAAGTATTTGCTTCATTTGTGTGCATCACATCATAAACGTCATTTACGAGGGCTAATTGGTTCATGTCGTTGTTGGTAACTTGATGATGATTTCTCTCAAGTACCTCAATATACTCTACTTGTTCACCTGTGTCGGTTATGGGTACGGTCAGTGCACCGGAAGAATCGCCCTCCCAATTCCAAGTTTTTTCCTCGTTACTACCTGATAAAGAAGTGACTAGTTCGTCAACTTCTTCCTCCATGATCTCGTTACCATCCACTTTTTTCTCATTCATTTTTTTGTCTTTGATTTTGCAAAGAACGATTATATCTTCATTGCTTTCCTTAAAATAATCCTCCGCCAAAATATATTCTTTCATCAACCACTTATCATTCTGCTCCTTTACTATATTACTTTTATATTTCAAACTTCTCCTAAAGCCAACAATAATATTCTTCGATCCATGTTTAATAGGTGCACCACCTGATTGGTCTTTCCAAGTTCCTCTCCCAACTGTCCTTGAAAATTTCTTAGTTGAATTCTTGAATCTCTTCAATTTAGAAACAAAGTAACGTGTTTTCTCCTTCGAATTTGAATCTCCAAAAATTTGCCATGGCTCTGTGACTCCGATTTTTGCTACTTCAATATCACCATCAGGTGGCAAAATTCCGCGATGCACGTAACGTTTCAGAAAGTTTATCAACTCAACATCAGTGGGATGAAATCGAAAACCCATCGGAAGCTTAGCTTTTGGTAACATTCTATCTATACTCGTATTTCACTTAT